CAGAAGCGTAGGACCTTCTGCCATTCTCAAGAAAAACTTGTGACCTCACTTTAAAAAATCACCACCTTTGTGGCACTGTACTGCAGTAGTTGACTGAGTAGGGTATAAGAACAGTGAAGGTGAATCTGCTCAACTCCCAACAGGTTGCGAGGTTTTTCAGAAATACTTTGTGCTTCTTTTTTCCCCATTTCCTGTGCCTGTGAGTAAAGCACTTGAAGATTAGTAACTGCAGAATACATTTATCTGAAGAGGGGAGAACGAGTTTTTCAAAGATGCTGTGGTGATCATCCCTACAGGCACACATACCAGACTTTTACGTGTGTATCTATCTCATATGGAAAACTTATGCACCTAGATCGCAGCTGTAGCTTTATCAGCTCATGGAGCTAAAGCAAAAGGAAGTCTTCTGATCAGCACAAGATTTAATTTTTAAAAGAGTAATGTATTTAGTCTCAAATGACATTGTATATTACGTAGGGGAGATAATTTATTTCAGAAGAATAATGCTTCAAGGGTGGCATGAGAGGGGAGTCACTTCCAGTATTAACACTGAAGGGGCACTAGCAACCAGAAGCCCATTTATTAACAACTAGAAACTTCACACAGCTTGAGATATCTTCTTCTCTTTTGCTATTGAATGACCGACAAAAACAAGGGAAGTGACTCACTATCACTGAAAGTAAATGGAAGATTCATACGTGTGTTAATACTTTGTTCAGTTATGAGAAGTGTTTAGCTATAAATTACTCAGGGAAGGTTGTTTCCTGACAAAGAAATTGGCCTTTGTGTTCATAATGTCCTAACAATCCTAACAGATACCACCTGTGTAAGAAAGAAGAAATTGAGATTCATTGCTGAAAATTCATTTGCTGCTAGGAATCTACTGAAGGTTGTTCAAAATTACAGTTCCAAAGGTAAAAGAAAATGACAAAACCCCAGCAGTCCTGGTGCCTGTGCTGTGCATAAGTACATTTCTTCAAAAAGATCGTATCCAAACCTTGTAGAACACAAAAGTTGAACATTTTCTCAGGTGGCTGCATGGACTTAAAAAACGTCAGCATTCCTTGCAGCAGGTATGACCAGGCTACATTAAAATAATTCAAACTCTTCTTAAAATAACACAGGATATAACATCTCATTTTATTTGAACTTGAACTGCACTTGCTAAAAGGCCAGATTTGCATTGAAGTCAGTCATGAGCAGCATATGCATCTGAGCTACGTGAAAGGTACTGGTAGCCAAATCAAGCCTAAGAGATACAGTTGGTAAAGCACAAGTACTCAAGTGTCCAGGGCCTTGCCTGTCCTAGAGAAATGACATCAATGTTCCACCAGCCCATCTGAAGGCCACCTTGGGCCCATGCATTCCATCAGTTATTGGAGAAGGAGGATTCACTGTAATTCACTGTGGGGCTTTAAAGGGGTAGAAAGTGATTAAAGTTAGAAAGTGATTAATCTTAGCATAAGCATACTCAGACACCAGCTGGATGCAGCCATCTGCATGCAGGCTGGCAACAGCTGCTCCCACAGTCTGGTCTGTCAGAGCTTTCAGAGGAGCTTGTGCACATCAGGAGTGAACACTGAAGTGCTTCTTTCCTTTACTATTTCTCCACAGGGACAAATAAACTTATCAGACATTGTAAGGGAATGTCAAGTATCTCACACTCTCATCTTCTCTACTTGCACGAGCTTTTACTTTTTTGTCATGAAAAAAGGAATAACCAAACAACAAAACAGGGCTACTTTATAAATCAGCTTAAGCTGTAACAGAGGAAGGAATGAATTTGAGTTCCCATGGACAACTGCTGATTACTAACCATGAGCTGGAGAACATTTTTTTGTAGGTTCTCATCTGCCATTTTTTTTAAGTCACCATCCTGAAAATTACATATATCAGGATGTAATGAGGATTTTGGATACCTCTTCAGGATCTCAATCATTGTACCATCTCTCAGGAAATCACAACAGTCTGATTTTGGTTTTGGTTTCTATGTGGACTAATTTAAATGAATTATTTAATACAGTCTTGTACCTCTAAGTTCATATCCATCCAAGTACCTCAACATGGTGTATGGACTCTGGTATTGATTTACTTATCTAATGTGAGTGTGATTTATTTCTTCTCTCAAATAAAAGTCATTCAATTCTTCACAAAATATGTACACTCTAGACATGATAAGACAAGCGGTAACAGGTTAAAACTTAAAACAGGGGAAGTTTAGATCAGCTATAAGGAAGAAGTTCTTTACTGTAAGGGTGGTAAGGCACTGGAATGGGTTCCCCAGGGAAGCTGTGAATGTTCCATCCCTGGCGGTGTTCAAGGCCAGGTTGGACAGAGCCTTGGGTGATATGGTTTAGTGTGAGGTGTCCCTGCCCGTGGCATGGGGGCTGGAACTGGATGATCTTAAGGTCCTTTCCAACCCTAACTGTTCTATGATTCTGTGATTCTATGTGTTTTCCCTCATACCTCTAACTAACACAATAATATTATCCACATAAATATGTTAGATTTGCAAGTACATGATATAATCTTCCCTCTTTTTTGTTGTGGCTACAAAACCTTGCATTTATAGGGACTCAAAATAAAAAAGGTAATTTTCTTCATCACCTTGCCTCTCTACAGATAAAAACTACTGACAAATCCCTGTATATGGGGTGCATGTTTGCTATGAGAATAAGTGTTGTAGAAGTTTCTTTCTTCTCAAGGAAGGTGTTGGAGGCCCAGCACAGGCACCCAGAGCAACTGTGCAACCTCCACTCAGAAGGTGTCCAAGACTTAACCAGAAGTAGCCTCAACTGATGTGGTGTAATGTCATGACCTAATCTTTGCATGAAAGGCTGAACTAGGGAGTATCAGAGATCCCTTCCAGGTCTTTAAGATTCAGTGGTTTTGCAGTATCAATTTCAGCTGTCCTTATGGTATGCCCTTCACAGCTTTGACAGATGCCCATCACAATAAAAGCCTCGTGCAACAATAATGCTTAAAGTTTGGGGGAAAACTCATTATTATAGCCTACAAACAGCAAGATAAGACATGACACTGAATGAAAGTCCTCCCTTCTTTCTAACTTCTGATTTTAAAATGGATTTAATTTCTTGAAGGAGAAGAAAAATCTGAAGTGAGACACAGCCAAATTCTTCCTAGCCTTCTTCTGTCCTAACTTTCTTCCCAGGCAGCTTTCTGAGAGGACAGACAGCGAAAGGCTTGCTTACCTCACAAGTTCTTCTCATCATTTTTCCCAAGTGCTCCTGCATGTACCTATAATGCCTCTTCTCAGATGGAGATCCTAAATATTCTAGATTATTATGTGACAGAAAATAAGGCAGAAAATTCACAATTCTGACAAATGAGTAGGAATATTCTTGTCTTTGTATGTTTCTCTGTCCTTTTTCAGAAGGGATGTGGCTGATCAGACCCCACATGGTGAGCACCCCAGGCACTCTGAGGAGACTCCTCTGCTCTCAAATAAGAATAATCATCTGTTTTAAACAGAACTTACATTTCTTAATTCTCCTCTGCAGCTTTTTTCTCTTAATCAAGCTATTTTCAAAAGGCTTCTTTTACTTTCTTTGACCATCATTGTAAACAAAGTTCTTCACATGAGCAAACTCTCTTACAGAGACAATGATTTTTAAATGTGTAAACCCAAATTAAGCATTTAAATCACAGTGAGGCATTGAAGCAAACCACATTTTCTTCTGAAGAGCTCACAGGAACTTAACTCGTATAAGACAAAAGAAATTAATAGAACATAACTTTTAAAGGGAGTGCTCCATTTTCAGAATTTGGGCTCTTCAGTTTGGACTTGTATTTTCCTTAAGCTAAAAGAAATCTGAAATGTCAAGAGATGTTGCACACTGGCTAATGGAAAGTGGTCAAGAACAATTTGTCCTGGTGTACCATACTACAATATATCTTAGCAATCTTGTGGTTTTTCTTTGTTAAAAGTTATCTATAATTAGATCTAAAATACCTGTATTAGTCCACAAAGCTCTTTGAAGGTATTAAAAAAATACCACAAATCATTATCCTGTATTAGTATGAGCCTGATCTTGCTGCCCATAGTAGAAGTTCTGGGTTTCGTAAAAAGCTGCTGCCCCTGTGACCACTACATGTGCAGCCAACCTAGTGTGGAGTTGCAGTAGTTAAAAATGGTGAGCCCTGCATGTGCCCTGGCCACTGTGCTGTCTCACCAACTGACGGTCAGGTAGTTTAGGCCCCCTGTTTTATTCCTTTTTCTACAGAACAGTCCTTACCTCTAGATTCATCCATCAGGGAGAAGCTTCACTGACTGCTTTCAGACTGCAATGCAACTCTGAAAAGAAGGGTTTCATTCACCTCTATTTGACTGAGTTCTTTGCCATGATCAAAGGTATCTGGCTGATCTGAATCTATTTCCTTGAGGAATGCAATTTTGTTTGGCCAAATGACATTTAAAAGTGTTGAGGCACCTTGAAGGGGCAGCAGCCTAATTCAGCAAAGCACCTAAGCACAGCCCCAGAAGCTACATCAGGTCTGGGGAGCACATACCATGAGGCATACACCACTAAACACTCAGTGGCTGCAGGCCTGTGGCATGTGGGATTTACATGGTAACACAGCTGCTCCCATTCACATCCCAGTAAGTGAGCTCAGAGCCATAGTCAGAAGTGATTTAAGGTTCAGCTCCACCCCTTTCTGACACAGCCATTAGCAAGTATGGAAACACAATCCCTCTCTGGGGAAGTCTCTGGGGGTGGCAGCCACCCCCAGCAAAGGGGAGAGCAGACAGCAAGCATTTGAGCAAGCTTCTCAACTCTTAAAAGAGTCCATCAGCAATTATGATAACTGTTGGCATTACTGAAACAGGTCTTGTGCCAAGCATTAGTCTTGATTGATGAACTGTATCAAAATAGTGAAATGGGCACTATATATTAGCACTAAGGAAATAAGCGCTGAAAATCAACATAAGCAACCAATTTACTCTTTTTTGAGGAAATGAAAATACCATGGTGCCTTCATTTTAGAGGTGGATCTGAATTAAAACTTCACATCACATGAATGGATCTCAATGTTGTCCAGCCACCCAGATGTAGCATTTAATAAATCTATACGTACAATCATTTCTGGTTAACACTTCAGGCTGGAATCTGCCTTTGTAGTCAAGATAGCACCTCTAACTCTTTTCCACCTGGAAATTAATCTGGATTAAACATACTTGAAAAGTTTAAAATGCATTTAGCAGAGTAATAATCATAAAAACATGAACAAAAGGGAAAGAGTAAAAATAAAGTCCTGCTTCATTGATATGAAGCAAGGGCTCCACAAGTATTTTTCTTAGCAAAGAAGGGGGAGGGAGATTAGCAGTAAAGAAGGATGCTGATAACCAATTTAGTACAGACCAGTGCCACAGCATGTTGCTATCCTTCTCATCCTCCTCCCTCTAGCCTGACTCAACAAGGGCAGATGCTAATCCTTCCATTTTCAGCACAATACAAACCTCTTTCTGTTCTCTAATCCATCACCACATCAGCAGCATCAGCTGATGTGTGGCCCCTTTCTCCCCAGTAGTCTCTGCCAGCATGCCTGATCCTGAATGTCTCCTGCCCGAAATCCAGTGCCAGGAAAGGTTTGTAGGATGAACAAAATACTGCCCCTTGAATGGTGCTTCAGGGGAATTTAGGCAGCCTGAGTTTTAGTTTGTTTTCTTTAAAAGGCGGTTTAGCAGAACAGAGCTCAGATTTACAAGACAAAGGAGGAGAAAAAAACCCGAGTAATGTTGTTAATCTCACTGCAGTGGTGGAAAGAAATTCCATTTATGTTCTTAGGGAGGGTCTTTGCTTTATGATCCAGCAAAGGCTGGATGCTACAAGGCCTTTTGAACTTGTGCCAAATTCAATAGAGACCCACAGCAGTGGAAAGCAAAGTCATTTAATTCTACAATTAACTGAACTTCCACTATAAATTTTAGGGATGTATCCTACAATTTGATACGCAGCTTTGGCACTTACAGTCCATATGAATTTCACTTACACTCCATATGAATTTGAGTTGTTATGATCAGCGGTAACATGCAAAGCAGGAAAAGCTGTACAATCCAGCAAAAATAACTGTTTGGGGTTTTTTTTGTTTTTGTTCATCTTAAAGCTCTTTTGCACCATTTTGGTAATGTAGAGGGCTGAATATGGCTATAAATCATGCAAGAAAGGACACTTTAATGACACCAAAGAAGGCACACTTAACACATCTGCATGCAACAGTATAATATAAAAAGGGCAGATCCCCTACTAGTCAAAAACCCCCAACAACACAAACAAAACCCCAAGGAAACAGCACTCTGCTCCTGGTGTAAGGAGTCCTCACATCCATTTGTTTGGTCCTGAGAAAGTGTGGGACACTTTAAATTAGCTGTTACATGTAAAGCACAGCACATAATTCACTAATATAACAGTTTAAAAGCATTTGGATCTTGAAATCCTGTGAGATATCAGTAACATGTAAGAGGCATCTAACCTTCACAGAGAATGAAATGTATCTTTTAGTTTAAATTTCTTTTACTCAGGAATGATAGCTTCTCTCCTACATCCAGAATGTGGATTGTTCCTATCTCATCCTCCATATTTTCTCCAGAGAAGGTGAGCAGCTCTTCAAGCAGAAAATTTCTCCTCTTGTGCTTGCAAACAGCTTGCTCAGAAATAGCAGGACTAATGTTGCCTCTGCACCCATGTAAGGACATGGGCTGTAGACACATCCCTGCACATGCACAAAGTAGTGTGAAGCAACTGGAAGTTGCTTCTGCATCTTCTGCAACTCGTAGAAGAAATGGTCTCAAAAGTGGGACATGACTTTCCTGCTGATAGGGATGCATAAACTGGGGAGGATTACTCAGCTTCAGGAACAGCACCCTGGATATTCTTGCAAGGTGCCTTGTACCAGGGTGTATAGCAAAGTGGGTTTATTATCATTAAAAAAAAACCCAAACAACAAACACCCTACCACCTCCCTGCCCAAAAAGCCCAAAACCAAACACCAAGAAAGTGTGCAAAAGTGTCTGAGGATTGAACTATACCAGCTCTGGGGTGGGACACAGTAATCAGGAGCAAAACACTCTCAGGAGGCAACTTAATAATGGAATTTGCTTCTGTATTAGGTCAGAGTTGCTACGAACCTCACCCATCCGTGAAGCAGAGTCAGATTTGTTACTTTAGTTCAGTCTTATCTAGTAAGACAAAGGAAAGAGGAGTACAGAGGATGTAAACAAAAAATTCCTGGCTCTTGCTTTGAAAGAAACAGGAAAGAAAATTACAGTATCTGTGGAACTTCCTACAACATGATTTTTGCAAGGCAGTCAGGAATCAGCAATACAGGGCACTACCCCATTAGCATAGAACAAAAATGCTCTTATCACAGTTTTACCTTCACAGTCCAGCTTGCTGTGCTAGCAACTGAAAAATAAGAAATAACTCACTGAGAAAGCTTCATAAGAGGTCACAACAATATTGTAGAGGGTGATGTAGGTGTACAGCAGGTGTTCGCAAATGTGGAATTACATCTATAAGCACAGTACTATCTACTGAGGAATTTGAACAGTAGAGTTTGCCCTGACACTCAAGGCTCTATAGAAACTGTATGCTGTGGGACCCTACCTACTTGTCACCTCAGACTGGCATGTACTACAGAAAATATCCTGCTTCCCCGTGGAGGAGGAGGGAGGTACCCACGAGGCCTTGCCCTGTCACTGCAGGGACTTGAGTGCTCAGGGTCAGGCAGGAGACTCACAGGCCAAGGTTCAATTCAAATCTGAGTGTTTGTTAAAAACCTGTTCAGATAATCTTGCACAGAGCCTGGTACCCACAGGCAGAAGGAATAGAACTCATCAGTGACCCCGTGGGAAGACATCCATCCCTGGCACACTGAAATGACCCCAGTACTATACTTGCTATGCAGGGAAAGTGAGGGCAGCCCTGGATGGACACACACTAACTACAGAATAGCTTTCTCCAGTACCCTTTTAAACAAAATTAATAAAAAAGTTTCATTGTTTCATTGCTCTTCTTTAAAAACAAAACAAAAGAACAGTTTTCTGTTGCTTATAAGGCACATCCACCCAGTTACATGAGAAGCTTTGCACACTGGTTTAGGGCTGCACCTACCTGGTCACTCTGCATCTGAAAAGCCTCCTGGATACTGGCAAATGCACAACAGTGGAGACAATTCCCCAAAAAACAAAGGCAAGAAAAATCTGCCTTTCTAGCCAACAAGGAGATTAAGTATCCATGGGTTTAGGATTGACAATTGACCAGCACTTTTTAAAAGAACCAGAAGCATTTAACATGTGAAGTTCATTTAAGTAAGAGACAAAAGTAAGATTAAAAGTTAAATTAAATTCAATGACACAGAAGAACTGAAGCGGGGCTGTGATATAGAAATACAAACTAGGTGATTCTTAAAAACACACTGTTTCATGTTTCCTTACCAGAAACAAGTTTACTTTCTTTATTAAAATCAGTAATGGTATGAACACATTGTCTTGGTAAATAACATTTGCTACTTTTCTCTTTCCCCCACTCCCTTCCCACCCAGATACATGCTTATAAAACAAAGTGATTACAACAAATTCGGTGTCCAGACACTTAAGAATATGTTGCACTGAACACAGACCACCCACTGACTTCAACTGCTTTGTTTTTCCAGTCTGAATTTTTGCAGATTTTCCACTGCCCTTGATAATGAAGAACATAAGTTTTTTCTATTTTATTTTTTATTTTTAAATACAAAAAGGCAACATGCAAGGGCAGGTCAAAGAGAATCTGTTAGATGCCAGAAAATCCAAGACTATACCACACATGTTGCCAACTGGTGTGCTGTTAGAGCATCATCCTTACTTTTGCACTCACACTGTAGCTTAAAGATCCAAACTGGTTCCCCTCTTAGTTAGCCCTCATGAGACTGCTAGGCACTGATCTCTGTAGTTTGTCTATCTCATATGGAGGTTACCTCTATTAAAAGTAAACTACAGTGACAAAACAGAAGTGAAATTAGCCCAGAAACACAGCAGCTTTGCCATGGTTCCATGGGTCAAAGCCCTGAGAGAGCTTTCTCCCCAGGGTCCACAAATTCTCCAAAATTTCCTGATTTTGCACAACCACTTGCATAACATAGTTTGGCTTGGTGTTATCACATGGAGCTATGTTCTTAGGGGAGGGGTAGGCAGATGGGAGCATACTGCTGACAGGAACAACAGAAAGAGACCGTTTAAACCATATTTCAGTGTAAAAAAGATAATCTACCTAGACCGATTCTGCATCTCTGCAGAGTTAACATACTAGCTTTGCTGTTCATTTCCAAAGGTCACCTTCTTCCTGCTGAGGAGCCTTCTGCCACGTATGTGTCCAGTCTAGCTATTTTTGCCAGATACTTTTTGTCAGGTTAGGTTAATTATTAACCCAAATCACAAAAACAACCCCACCATAAAATCCTTTTATTTTACTTGCAAACTGGGTACATTAGGACAAACGCTGAACAAGCTTAATCCACCATAAACAGTGGTCATGTGCTACATTTACATAGCTTTTGTCAGCAGCACTTCAGAAAAACATGCGCAAATAGGGATCACTTCATCTTTCATTAAACCTAACCAATTTGGAATTGTTAAATGTTGTATGGTGATGGTCTGTAAAGCAAAGGGCAGAGCACTTCAGTGAAGTACAGAAACCAGGAAAAAAAAAAAAAAAACATTTAAGAAGGTTAGGCTTAAACACAAACTGACATATGTCCAGAACCACAGAAAAGGCCCCTTATAAACAAGGCGTTGTAAGTTTTACTGACTGCAAATAGCACGGGGCTTTGATCTTCTGCTTAGCTTCAGAGGCTCCATGAGCTCATCTTATTTTACCCATAGATAAACTTCTACCTCAGAGCAAATCCCAGTCCCATAGCTGAAATTTGACAGCTTGAATACTAGATATCCAGCCTGTAAAGACATTTGTTTAGCCTCATTTGAACTGTGTGGAGATCTTTACGTGATAATCTGACTGTAACAGATACTATGAATTTCAGTCTTAAGCCAGTTGCTTGATTTTCCTCCCTTGACTTATTACTGTATTGCCTATTGTAATTCTGAAGCTTCCACTGGAAAAGGGTTGATTTCTTGTGGTAAAATGAAAGCTAAACATCTAAGAGGGAAAAAAAAAACCCACACCAAAACCATACTAACATAGAGTATACATCCTCCATATAAAATCACAGAAGCAGGCACTCTCAATATTGCATTATTGGGGCCACTTGTTAGAGCAACTAGGTTTAAGAATCAGAGGTGGGAGAGCAGTTTTTACTTCTGTACTAACACTTGCTTTGGGGGTTTTGAAGGAGTTGGGGGGGTTCTGTTTGGGCTTTTTTTTTTCCCCTAGTAAAATGTTTCCTATTATTCTTCCTGATGTGTTTCATAAAAGTATAATGTAGACAGCATTTATTTGGCTTAGCCGTTGTCAACAACAGCAGGTAGAGATGAATCTGGTGGCAGGTTTCAGTGAAACACCAGCAATCAGATCATGTTCTCAGGGTGTACATGCACACACTGAAGTTCACTTGGGTCACATAGGGCCTGTCCTCCAGGCAACTGGGGCTGTCTCAAGCATCTAATACAGTAGACACGAGGAAAATAGCTAAAAGACCTTGAGAATAGACACCAAAACATTATTTAACAACACAAGACAATTTAATATTCTGGACTTGTGGCAACTTGCCCAACTACAAAATCCAGCTAATCAGAAAGTTTAAATTAACTTTCTTGCATCTCCTGGATAAATCTTGTCTGCACCCCTGCCAAAACACACCACACTCCTCTGTGGTCCCAAACATTCCTTCGCTGGAGGTATTTCTTCTGCAGCTCCTCACAGTGCCATGCATGTGGTTGCATTGCACAGACACACCAAATGATCAGAGGCAAAGTTAAGTGCATAAAAGCATCAATCTGTGTCTTCTGGAAACCTGGAGAAAGCTGTTAGTCCTGCCTCAGCACTCCTGCTCCCTCCTCCCTGCTCCCTCCTCCTCTCCACCTTGATCCAAAAACTAGACCAAAAAGGGAGAAATATTTCCAGGGCCCAACTTAAGCTTCTGCCACCCAGGCCTAATGTGTCTCTGCCTGGTCAGCCACTAATTATATTCATTATTCATGTTCCTATCAGGGACACATGCAATGCCTGGAGCACTATCCTTTGACAGAGACTGCAAACCAAAGCTGCTGTGGGAATTTAGCAGCTACCCAGAGGACAGATAACAACAGGATGTCATTTATCCTCAGTGGCAGGGTCTTGCTAAAGCAGTTAGAGGCCAAAATTAGTTACCAAGCAAAGGCTGGTTAATGATTCAAGCAAAATTAGTCAGGGCCTCAGCCAAAGTGACCATGAAGACATGTTCATGTGGCACTAAGGCACTAATTAGCACTGCCACTGGATGGTTCCATGCAGGTCACAGCCAGGTCTGGATCACAGGGTGTATTACCCATCCTGCTAATGACACCAGTGTTAATGAAGTGAAAGTTTGCTCCCATGGAAAGGTTAAGCCAGAAATTATCTCTTTATCTGATGCAAATACAACAGGGAATGGAGGCTCTGCCCCCTCCATTAGTATTAACCAGTGCATGCTCAGACAGGGAAAGCAGGAGCAACCCCAGAAGCTGGACCTTCTGCTCCCCAGGCCCTATCCCAATTACTTTTGAAATGAGCCCTTTCTGGTGTGTCTCTCAACCCTCAAAAGGCACGATTTTATCCTGGAGCATGGGAGCAAGTAGATAAAAAGCAGTATATGGGATTAGTAATGACTGCATAGCAAAGGTGTAGATTTGGTGCCACTGTCAAAACTCATACACTGAGCTTCCACTATTTACAGCAGTGCAGCTGAGTACAGACTAGAGCAAGGCTGGGGCTGTTTCTTACCATTTTAAAGGGCTACAGAAAAAGTTTCTCTTTTGACAATACAATATCCTGAAAAACAAATTAAGTTCTCCTTGTGTTGGATGTATATGAACTAATTACAGGAATAGAAACAACACACTACTGCTTCCATTCTACATTAAACTTAATCACAATCTCATTTATAGGTCTTCAAATTTTTAGGTTTATTTAAATTCTAAAGAAGCCATATTACCACACAGACCCAATGATTTCAAAACATTAAAGTCCATGGGAGCCCAAGGGGACCCATAGTAGCAATGTGGATGTTCTTGTTTGATGGCCTGGGGACAGAAGAGAGAAAAGTCTTAAGGACTTCCCAGTTTTGGAGAAAGTTCAAACCTAGAGCAGCTGGGAAGGTAACCAGGGCAGATATAATTGAAGTCTGGATTAGGCAATGTGGAGTAGCAGCTGCATAGGATGCAGCAGCACTTCTGATGGCGGGCAGGTAGAATGCTAAATAATCCTGGCTAGAAGGCAGCTCTACACTATGCCTTGCTCAGGACACTCACATCCATTTCATTTCAGTAGCAGCCCCGACTTCTTCAGACTTATTTTTTAATTAGCGTTATTTATTAAACTTCTCAAGATTTTACTTGGCAGAGGGTAAAAAGGGTCTGCAACATTTCCCAATAGGGTTACTTTAAGCCAGTCAGTGAAATTTGATATGTGTTCTTAATCTTCAAGACTTCTGTTGACATCACAAGCTGGGAAAGTGGAGCCAGCAACTGAGGGAGTTGAAGTTTGGATTACATGAAGAGCACTCTTTCTGTTTTTCTTTCTAGACTATTATAGCTTTTAGTACAAAACTAAAGAATTAAAAGAATTTCAAGAGGATGTGGAGTTGCAGCTCTAGGTATTGACAGCAGTATGGAATGGTCTGGATTTCAAGTAAGTCCAAAAGCAAAGACAGAATTAACAACTAAGCCAGAGGTACAGGGCTGGATGACAAAAAGTGCAAGCCTCATGTAAAAGAAGTACCAGGGCCAAATAAGACAGGAGATCCTGCAAGGGCGAAGAGCCTAATCAAAGCCACTCCTTCTCAGCAACTCCAGAGAAGCAGGGAACAAACAAGATGGGGGAGAACACCCTGCTTGTTTGCAGAAGTGCTCATACAACATGACACTCCTGCCCTTGGTGGCACCAGCTCCAGTAGAGCAGCAGCCTGAAGTCACAGACTCTCCCTCCAACATGCTCTGGAGAGCCCCAGGCCCTCCAGCTCTGTGCAGGAAGGATAGGTGCTAGAGGTGACCTCCCTGCCCTGGGCCAGGCCCCAGCTGCTGCCACAGAGAAGTGTGTAGACCTGTGGCCGTTGTCCTGGATGGCAGCTGTGGGGATTAGCCTCTGCCTAAGATAGGGCTCTGGGAGTCCAGTTTCTGGGCTGGGGGGGGGGACACGACACAGACAAATCCATCATCTTTTTTAATTTATCCTAGTTAGACCAACCTCTCAAAAAGCTAAGGAGCCTGATGTGCACTGCGAGGAAGCAAGAAAGCACTGGGAATCCAATCCTGCTCTTACTGATGTCAGATAAGGGCTTTATTGTTGACTGCAATGAGGCCAGAATGACATCCTCACAGCTGAATAGAGGAGACAAGACAAAAAAAGGCAATCCTTGGAACCCTAAATAAAACAGCAGATGTCAGATCACATATTTCCAAACAGAAGACACTGAAATCAATGGTTTGAAATGTTAATTGCCTATTTTGAATGCAGCTCTTTCCAGCAGCCCACTTTGCCATGTCAGCTTCCACTGAGGTTATAGATCTCTCAATCCTTTAAAATAGGCTGGGGAAAGTTAGCACCTTCACGCTGCTTGTTACCAAAGAGGTTAGATAAGTTATTTCTAACCCGGGGTGGGGGGAGGAAGGAAAATAGGGAAACCCATCAGGAATAGCTTTCCATATTTTCACACTGTCTACCACCAACCTTAAACACACAGAAGCTATGTTTCCTGGAAGCTCTTAGAGCAAAAACATGATACCATAGGCTGAAACACACCTTCTGCTCACAGGCCAAGTGCATTCTGCTTATTCACAGAAACAGATGTCTTGCCGGGCTTGAGTGTGCACACAGCCTGGAAATCAGTAGGTGCCACAAAAAGCTAAAGCTCAGTTTTATAGGCCTGATTTCAATTTATTGACATGCTACTTCATGTGCCTCTTGAAAAAGCTTATAAAATATTTTAAAGAGAGCACAGATTCCTTTCATTACTTTTACAGAATAAAACTTACAGGAAAAAAACACATGTCAGAACATGATAGGGCAAGTCTGTACTATTAAATGTTTACAGTTTGTTAAATGTCCCATTCTTGCCTCATTTGTCAGTTACTCAGTCAAGTGAATGACCTCTGACAGTGCTGTATGCAAACGTTAACCAAGGGGTAAAACAACCGTATCTAATCACAGGTAACCGAAGACTTTTCTGACTACTCAAGTAAAACTCTGGGCAGAAGCCTATTATGGCTGGCCTCAGTGCTGGCAAGACTGAGAAACATGAAAAGCAAACAAAACTCCCCGAAGCCAGTAACACCTGCTGAGGAAAGGTTTATCTTATTACAGAAGTGACCAAGCTCACTTTTTCCTCACTGTTAAACCTGAAGATGACTATTCACCTTTTTACACAATCACATGAGGTCAAATGGGAGTGACAGACACTGAAAAGCAGGAGCTAAAGTTAGCACTGTGTATTTTTCTGACCTTTGGTGTGTTTACAGAATACAGAAGCTATTGTCTGGAATACTTTCACATCTCTCCATGCTGAGGGGGAGGGAGCTGCCGAAGAGGATTATGAACAGTGCTCTGCTGGTGCATGAAAAACAGAGCCAACATCGCAGCAGCAATGGATTGCTGACCTCCACCCCAGCATTTCACCCCACTCCAATTTAAGAGCAGACAAGAATTGTAAAATACACACCAGCATGTGATGGTGAATGGGAAAGCAACCTTACTTTCACAAAAAAAGCAACAAAACCAGTCTTAACCTTCTGAGATTTTGTACATAACTTTGGAGCCCACACAATTCCAGAATTTCATATTCTGGGAAACCCTTGGTAAAAACAAGATAAAACAATATATACACAAGTGCTTCTGTTGCAGAAATAGTTTTATATTTGCCCTTTCTTTCCTATGCAGATAATGCTCCTATAGAGGAGCCTTGCCTTTTACTTGGTTGTAGTGTTCCTCATCACCTTGTTTGCACATACAATGCTAACTGAATGAAGAAAGGTTACTTTCACAAGCTTTTTGGACACAGGTGTTGTAATTGGATGCTCACCCTGGTGCAGTCTATTTTGATGGAAAAGGTCACGGAGAGGCCTCAAACATGGAAGGGACAGATTTGCATTTGCTTGTAGGTTCTATATTACTGTAGCTATCTATAAAATAGGTATATAGCTTAAACAAACTATCTTGCTCCTCCTACAGGCATTTTAACGACTGTCTTCTTTTGTCTTAGCTACTTAGACCAGAAACTTCTGTAAGCATGAAGGGGATTTTGGGAGGTTTCATTTTGATTTTTTTGGTATTTCGTTTTGTTTTGTTTTTGACAGGATGGTTGCACAGATTTCCCAGCTGCACTCCAACTGAACATGATACTTCCAGATAACATCAGTACATTATGATTGTTGTTTTTGCTATACAAACACCCCCCCCCCCTTTTTTTTTCCACTTGCTGCAGTGCTGTGGGTCAAACCCCTGAACTAAGGCTTTTGAAAAACCAGAAAATCTCCTGACCATCAGCTCAAAACCACCTTTCCACTACACACACACTGCCTTTTCTACTGTGCACAGCAAGCAGATGATATTTGGTTTAAGCACCTCAGACCTAGAAATGAGCTAATAGAAAAGAGCAACATATTAAACTTCATTGTATGAAATAGTAGAGCGATCAAAGCATCAAGAGAGAAAGGACAAGAGTCAAATCCACCAGTGATTTACCTTGTAGAAAAATGCCACTGATCAGTCATGTCCCTCAAACTTCAGAAAAGTTACTGCCTGCTAGCAGAAAGTGCCAGTCACAGACCCCTGCAGGGCTCCCTGTCACTGCACACCAGCAGCAGCCAGCATGCCCAGCCTCCCACAGAACAAAGGGAGGCTGGTTTGGGTCATCTCTTTTCTCTGCCACCTTCAGCTTTGTTTCCCAGAAAACCCTGCTGAGACAAACCCTCTTGCATCCCTAGTTCCCTCCATTTTGTAAATACCCTCCCCAGTCCTATAGAAACTACGCATGCTCTAGAAAACTATTTACCTGCTCAGAATCTGCTTAATAGGCACATGTGGACAGAAGTTCTTGGACTAGAAACTGCAAGCTACTGGTGACCATGAACAAGTTGCACTAATAAAACTCTGTCAAAGAATCTGTTACAGCCTTTGGCTGTTTTTTTCCTCCTCCAAATAAGCTCTACTTCTCAGTGATGCTTAGAAAGAGCCTTCCTTTAGCTGGGGACTGG